CGATTCCGGGTTGGCCCCCTTCCTTTTTTTGCTTTTTGGTCGTTCTCGGACTACGTCTGTGCACGTCAAGGCGTTTGCTTCCTGTTTTCAGCAGCACACCTCCACATCCACACCTGTGTGGTCGACGTCGACCATCACCTGCGCCTTCCCTCAGCTTGTCGCAAACTGCGTCCAGACTTCTTGACGACTCTCCCGGCTCAGCTTCAGCGGTCCATCAACGGTGGGCCCTCTTTCGACCATGAAGGAGCTTTCCTCGTCGGATCCACCGGCAGCAAACCAATATCCAACAGTCTCTACACAGCCATCACACCTTTCAGTGCACCACAGTCATCCGCACGACGATGAAGCGGAAAGCAGCCGCAGGAGCCGTGCTCCCAGCTCGCCCTTCAAAGATGACGACTCCGCGCCAGATTCACGATCTTATGTGGCACGTGAACTTCTCGATCCTGACGAGCTAGAAGAAGGCGACAGCGACACTGCGTCCGAATTCGATGCTTTCTTACGTCAGGGTCGTATCGATGTCGGTCAGACTTGGGACGATAGTAGCGAAGATGAGGACGCTGTTCATCCGCTGCACCAGGACCGCACGCTGCCCCTTTCGGCCACCGGCGACACCGCGGCAAGGCGCAGCAGGCGTGCCAACAAGAAGAAAGTTCGGCCCGAGTCGTATCTCCAATCGCTCCGGCCGACGCGCGAGCATCGTAAAGCTTGGTGGAAACTTCTCACCAATCCAGGAACGCCAGCAAGCCTCTCGGCCCCTCACGTATCGGCCAATCTCTTCTCGGCCAGCCTGCACCCGGCTGTGCTGCTGTCCATGCCCCACTACTTTGCCCGCACCGGCGTCTTGTTCGGAACGGTCGCATTGGTCGTCGTCGCAACTTTGGGCGGAGTAGGCGGCGGGCTCTGGGTCGTTCTGAGCCGATACGTCAACGGCAGCTCGATAGAGGCCATCGTCGGTGCAAGCTTCGGCAGATACACGCCGTGGAAGGGCGGTCTCGGCAGGGTGGTGTCCGGTCTCCTTCTCGCACTGTACGCAACTGGCAGCGCCATCATTGGCTACTTTGCCCTCGCCGATCTCCTTTTGCAGGTCTTCTTCAACTATGCGCCTCGAGGCGTACCTCTGCACGATCGAGCTTTCGTCACCCTCGTCGTCGGCGGACTCATCTCCGTTCCGCTCGTCATCTTCCCACTCGCCAAGCGCAATGTGATTCGACTCAACACGTTCTTCTCGCTCACCTTCTATCCGATCATCGTCACCATCATCCTGGTCAAGATCTATACCAGCACGCCTCCAGTGGCTCTTACTGGGGTCCCTTCGACCAGTGGCCGACCGGTCGGGCGCGATGAATGGCCGAACATCAATCCTCTGCATCCCCCATCCGTCTGGGCGCCTATCTCCTTGCTGCCACTGTTAACGCTGAGTGCTTGCCCGCTGCAGATCCTGGCGCATCAGCGCAGTCTGCGCAGGATCGGGACCTCGCGGTCAAACGTCAAGGCTTTCATTGGCGCACAAGCTGGTCAGGTGCTCTTCATCATCATCATGGGCATCCTGTTCGGTGTGGTCGCGGGCGTCAACGGCGTGCAGGGACGGTTGCGAAAAAACAGCCATCCGAATCTGTTCGCTTCGCTGCCTAATGATGACGATCTGATCAATGTCGCCAGGATCCTCTTTGTTGCCATCCTCGCCACGCATCTTGCCATCTGCCTCACCACGGCTCGCTCTTCGTGGGGCAGGCTGCTCCGGCAGCTCAACATTCACCCGCTACGACGACGGCAGCAGGCCATCCGTCTGCCTCTTGACGAGCCGGCAACATCGTCACCCCTTGTTGGCGGGACGGGCGGATCCATGTCGCATGCAAACGTGTCCAATGCTACGCATTCGGGCGAGGAGATCTCGCAGATCGGAAGGTGGAAGCGAAAGTGGGGCAAACCCGCTCGGAACGCTCTGGCCGGTCTTCTTCTGTGGGGCGTGACAGCGGCGAGTGCCTTCCTCTCAGGCGCCGGGGGCTTCCGTCGGACGGAAAAGGCAGGCGAGGAAGCAAGATTCACTCGAGCCTCGGAGGTGCTCGGTCTGATGGGCGCCGGCGTTGGCTTTGTGATGCCAGGTCTGGTGTGGATGATTCTCTTCCACATTCGACGGCCTCGCGCCATCTTGCCACCGTTTGCGAGCGAGCTCGGCAGGACAGCATCAGCTTACTTCAGTGGTCCGCTGTCAATGCTGGCGAGGAATCGTCACTATCTGCTGGGAGGAGGTAGGCAGAACGAAGACGGCGAGCGACAGCCGTTGTTGGCCGGTGCCGACAGTGCCGATCAAGACCACAACGATGGTGCGTCCACGAGTTCTGCCACCGCTCGACCCCGTGCGCCGATTTCAGACGCCGCAAGCGCTGTCTCGGGATTACACTCTCACCGCTCGAGCCGACATGTTCCGCCTGCGTCATTGGACCAGGATTCAGCTTCGATCCCAAGCCACCTTACAGAACAGACGGGCGATGACCGCGACGAGGCCACGACGATCCTGCTGGCCCGAAAGGAACGCCAGCTGCAACGTCGGACGCGGGGCAAGCGCATTTACCAGGATGTCATCGTCTTTGCCGCGGTGCTGCCTCTGGGATTTGCGCTGCTCGTCCTGGGAGCCATCGAGCTCCAACGCGGCGGCTACTGAGCCTTTTGCGGATCCGAGCAAACGCCCGCCGACGACTGCGGCGAACACTGCTACACCTTCATCTCGAGGCAGTCAACGCTGTCGTATCCTTCCACATGTAGTCTCTTCACCCAGTCATACCGAGCGGATTTTCCGCGGCATCAGCAGCTTCTGTTCTCCATGATGCATGGATCTTCTGAGCTCAGTTCGATGAAGGTGGCGGGATCCCGAAGCAGATGCAGAGGCAAAGCTTATCTGATAGGCCCTTGCTTCTTTTGAAATCCGGCGGTTGAATGTTGCCGCAGGATTGAAACAGCGCAGTGGAGAGGAAGACGACGACAAGGTGGGAGTTGGCTCCAGCGAGCAGGATGCGAGCGGGAAAGCATCCTGCTGCCAATCGATCCGCCTTCCTCCTTCCCGGAAACGCCGCGGAAAATCCGGATCATAATCCCGCACGTCTACTTGCTCACATCTTTTGTGCTTGGTGTCGGAGGGGAAGAAAGACTGCCGTCACGCCCTACTCTGCCTTCAGGGGCTCCGTTGCATGCCCAACGACAGTTGGCTAACCTCCGAAGGGAACTGTGAGCTTAGTGGATCGCATCGCAACCTTGCGCTTTTTCCGCGCGAGCTCGGAGCTTGCTCGAGCATCGAGGGCACTCGGGTCTTCCGCCCAGTTCGGGATATTTCCGGGAAATTTCCGCGCTGATTCTCGACAATCGGCCCTGCAGAGCCATGAAAGATGGCTGAAGCTCGCGCAAAGCACTCGTCCACAGGCGAGCTGGAATGCTGAGCCACGGCAATTCAGACCTCGGGTCTAGGAACAGCCCGTATTCGAGTCCCGCGAATGCAAACAATGAGGTTCCATGGAAAAGCCGCGGAAACCTGCATTGCCCCGTGAAGAGAAGAGACGGGTTCTCAGCGTGCCTGCGGTCCGCACTCAACCCGGATCTGGGAGGCGCATTTCAAGCTGCATCATCATTTTGTGCAGCTGTCAGCGAGCGACTCGGTGTCTAACCCCTGCTGCGGATGATGCTATCAAAATCGCGTGGGATCATCATCCCACGGAGTTCCAGTGGAGCCAGCCCCCGGGAACATCCTCTTCATCTCCGTGCCTCGCATCGCTTTCGGCCTCCTCTTCCTTCACTAGAAACGCCTTCTTCCATAAAAGCGGACCGCTGACATCGCAATGAGAAGAAAGCCCTAACCGTTCCTCCATCATCCATCTTGCAACGTTCCTGGTCAACCTCATCGACCCCGTCCTCTTCCAGGAAAATGGCATCCGAGCAACGACTCGCTTCGACAAGCTCCACCGAGGGGAGCTCCGCCGTGCACGGGGCTCACGTCTCGCCGCAAACTGCCAAGGAGATGCAGGCAGAGACAGAACAAGCGCCTACACCGGCGCGGCAGCCTCCGCAACTCGGCCAGGAGACCTTCTGGTCGCCTCGAGTGCGCGCCCAACGTGCCGCCTATCTCAAAGCCATCGGTAGCACGACACTCATCATCTGCATCTTTGTCTGGGCCATCATGAGCATGTATTGGGGCTCAGTCTGGAAGGAGATCGATCTTTCGCCCAACCTCGACGGATGGATCATCAACCGCGACAGTGGCGAGATCGGCTCGGCCGTCCAAGAGGCGTTGCTCGCTGCCAACGAGGGTGCCAAGCCGCACAGCACCTGGACGGTCATAGATCCCAATCGTTTCCCTACGCAGGAGGAAGTCGACTACCAGGTCACCAACACTCTGGCCACTTGGATTGTTGTCACGGTGGAAGAGAATGCCACCGCAAAGCTCGAGCAGGCGCGAGCCAACGGAGATGCGTCTTGGGACCCTCGCTCTGTCGTCTCTCTCACCTACGCTACTTCGCGCAACTTCCAAGCGCTTCCCTCCGTGGTGCTTGCTCCAGCAACAGCCACACTCAACAAGGCGCTCGCACAGCTCAGCTCGCAGCTCGCCAAGCAGTATCTGAGCTCCATTGCCACCAATCAGACTGCCATCAACAATCTAGCCAACGCGCCACAGACGATTGCCAACCCGATCATCGCCGTTAATCGCGACTTGAGGCCGTACGATGTTCCCGTTGCTATCGCGGTTCTAGTTGTGGGCCTGATCTACCTCTGCATCCTCGCCTTCAACGCTACCATGGCCAACTTCGGCGGTCGCCAGGGCCTGCAGCCTTTCCTTCGATACCGCTCGCTTGTGGCGATGCGCATCATCGCGCCTCTCGTCTGCTACTTCTTTATGTCCCTCATGATCTCGCTGCTCAACATCCCCTTCAATGTCCCCTTCGGACGCACGTTCAGCTACGGCGCCGGTTTTATGACGTGGTGGGCTGCTACCTTTGTCGGAATGTGCGTGCTCGGTCTGGTAACCGAGTGCGCCATCTCCCTGGTCGGGCCGCGCTTCATCGGCTTTGCTCTCGTATTCTGGATCATCATCAACGTCTCGGTCGCCAACCTGCCCATCGAGCTTTCGCCATCCTTTTACCAGTACGGCTATTCGATGCCCTTCTACAACATCCGACAAATCTACATCAAGATCATCTTTGACGTCGGTCAGCGCGTAGAGATGCTCAAGTACTTCGGCATCCTCTGGGCCTGGCTCGCCGTGATTCTGATCACCTTCCCCGTTTGGATCCACCTCGAGCAAAGGTCGGCTCAGAAGGCGCGCCAGGCCCAGCAGAAGGGTCCGAAGAACGCAGGCTCTTCGTAGCTCGGCGTCGTCTCGCGTTGCTGTGCCCAAATCGTTGCGTGCCAAGATACCCCGGTGGAACTTCCGAAGTGTTCGTTATTCATCCCACGTTCTTCCGTAATACAAAACACTCAGATCCGCATCGATAGTGCCTAGGCTTAGGGCCAGCTCATTTGCACGCGGCCTTTGGGGTGTCAGCGATCGGGCGGCCTTCCCACCTGCTGCCATGAGCTGAGCGAACCTTTCACGTCGACTCATCTCGTCGGAACATCCGAATGTCGGTGGTGAAGCCACCGCTAGCAGAGGAAAAGGTCCGCTCGTCGTGAAGGTTCATTGGGTCGGAGATCGCATCGGATGGGCCGAAGATGCATCTGGTGCGGAGGGATGCCAGCGACAATGTTGGGACCGCTTCTTGCCCAGAGCTCCCACCGCTTTGATTGCCAAAGACGACCGGATCAGCAGTTTGTTTAAGGTGAGCAATGAGCAAGGGCCGCTTCCAGACCATCAGGAGGGCTATAAAATGGCCACACCCACTCCTTTGTCGCCTCCCGTCTTCTCCATCCCATGTCACTGGACACTCTTATCTTCAGCTCAATTCAACGTCACTTTGAGAGCGATGCATCTTGGCTATACGATTACTTTCCTCTTCCTTGCGAGCTTCGATGTCGCTTCTCAATCGTAAGTCAAAGAATCAGAAGAGAACGCAAATGTGCCATCTGGGAGGTCTCTACGCCAGAAGAATGCACACTGACCAGAGTCTATGCATCGGCTCTCCGCCTCGGCTTCCAAAGCTTGCCCAAGCTGACTCCGCGCCAGCTCGCCGTGAACCAGCTCGTCAACGCATCTCGCATTCTCGCCTCGCAGGGGGTCGCAGACGACTGTGCCGGGCACATCTCCATCCGTGATCCGCTCTCCCCAGACACGTTTCTGATCACTGGTGGTAGCAGGACACCCACTAAAATGACTCCGGCCGACGTTGCCGTGGCTAGGATCAATGATTCGCAGGTCATTTCGGCCGCTCTTGACGATCATGAGCCTCCGATCCGCCCTGCCGAGATCTTCATCCACTCGTCCATCTATCAGAGGTTCCCCAACACGACGGTCAACAGTATCGCCTACTACCAAGCCGAGCAGCTGCTGCCTTGGTCTCTCTTCGCTTCGGACTCCGCCGGTGTCAACACATCTCAAGTGACGGCAGATGACCTCACTGGTTTCTTCGCAACGACTGCAGGCGCCTCCTTCATGGGACCTCATCCCGCCCCGGTCTTCAGCGTCTTTGACGACGATCCCGACGCGACAACGATTGCCGTCGACGATGCGGCCAAGGGCTTCTCGCTAGCGACTTTGTTTGGTCCCGCTGATGCTGCAGTCGCTAGTGTCAACGAAACCGACGGATTTAGGCCTCTGGTGCTGATGCGTAACGATGGAGCCACCGTCGTCGGAACCACGGTCCCCGAGGTCACCTTCCGCTTTGTTCAGGCGGTGAAGAGTGCCAGGATCCAACACTGCGCATCGATCCTCTCGGCACAGAACGGATCGGTCCCGCGCTTCGTGCCGGCTCAAGCGACCAAAACCAGCGACGAGTATCTTCGCAGCTGGCTGCTGTGGATTTCGCAGGTGGAGAACGCCATGGCTGCGGACGTGGCCCGCAGCCCGGAGCTGTGGGCCGGCAGTGGCAATGCGGCTGCTACAGGTGCCGGCAGCGAGAATGCTGCGAGTATGAAGGCGCCGCTGTCGAAGGGACTGGCACTCTTCGTCATCTGCTCCACCTTCTCTTTGACATCCCTGCTCTCGCTTTGAGCGGGAGGGCGAATCGATCATGCGGACACACTCCGTGCCGTAGCCACGCAAACTCGGTATCGGGTTGTATTCCATCACAGCTTAGCCTGACTGGGAGACACAAAACCCAGAATGATGTCTTCTTTCCGAGGGCTCTTTCTACGAGACTCGGCATCCTCCCTGCGTTCCTTTTCGATCTCGCGTTCGTCTTGGCGAGTCCAAACCTTGTATTCGGCGTGCGATGTGTCGACCGGGTTGCCGAGAATGTAGTCGAGAAACAGTTTCCAGATGGTTTCCTCCTTGCTCAGCGAGGCGCGTGATGGTTTCGGCTGACTAGAGATGGCGTCTTCAAAGTCCTTTTGTGATGTGTATGCCTCGCCGTGCTCGACGGGGACAAGCTTGGGCTCTTTGCTCTTTGTGAATGCGTTTACATGGCCGCAGCTAGGCCATCCTTTCTTGACGGGGTCGATCCAGAGACTCTGCTTGAGTCCGTCGGAGTGGTCAAACATGCCCAAATACTTTTCCATCATGTTCCTGGTGAGAGAGCGCGGACGAAAGGTGAGGTGAGGTTGCGAGAATGGAGTCAGGTCTAGCTGGTCTTGCAAATGCAGTGTCATTGATCAACTTACTTTCCGATCTTGTCGTCATCTTCGAAACCGACATAGAGTAGCGGCACGCCCTTGAGGCCCCGGGCAAGCTTCATATTCTCGGGACGGTTGAAGGCGAAGTGCGGATGGAAGTACCACTGCACCCACTCTAAGCCAGGGCCGTACGGCAGATCGTATCCAAGACCGAGATTGGCCGCGCGGAAGATCTTCTCCTCTGCAAGCGGCTTGACGACAATCTCTGTGAAGCCAAACTCGGCGGCGTCGGGCTCCTTTTGATTCTTGACGTAGGCATTTCCGCCGCACACGTTGAGCAGGCGCTTGACTTTGGCGCGCGGTCCATACACATGATCCGCTGGGAGGACCGCCATGAGGTGACCACCAAGGCTATGCCCGATGACAGTGACATCTGCTTCGGGATTGGACTCGTAGGCCAAACGTACAATCGACGCCAGATCCACTTTGCACCAGGTGGTGGTCAGATCAACGTGGTCTGGACACCGACGTAGCGCTTCCTCAAAGTAGTCTTCGTCCTCGGCGAGCTTGGCTGGATCGCATTCGAGCGGGAAGGAAGCACCGGAGAAGCGGTAGTCGAAGGTGTAAGCAGCGACGCCATTCTGGGAGAGCCAGGCGGCTACGTTGTGGTAGAAGCGAGCTTGTACGCCCGTGGCATTTGCGAATACGACGCTGGCCTTTACATCGGCCGACGAGGTGGGGCGAAAGATGGTGACTGCGAGGGGAAAATCGTCCCAGGTGCGGTGCCTGATGGCCACCTTTTCTGCGCTCACCGTCATGTTGGCGGCATGTGCACGCAAGTTGCGAGGGAGGATGCTGGTGCGAATGAAGGTCGGCGAGACGAGAGTTTGCCGGGACTTCTATGGTCTAGTGTGGTAGGGAAGCAGCTACAGTATACCGAGGAGACTTAATAGGATCGCCGTGGCGCGACCCTGAAATCCGGCAGCACGGCTATCCTTTTAGCCGTTGTGGAAAGCTTCCGGCGAGCAGACCCAACATATTGAGCGAGATTCAACGCTGCAAGCGGAAGGTGCACACTACCGACTCAAAAAAGCGGGTTACTTTCAGCCCGTGCTCGTCAAACTCGTCGATTGCGGCCGCAGCGAGCTGCCAGTTCTGGTAAGGGGCGGCGGCAAGCGGCAAGCGAGCTTCATGCTCCGAGCCATGGCTGGTGGGTCCCTCGTCTGAATTCCAAACTGTTGCCGGTTGCGGGGGTTGCGCGGGGGTGGAGGCCCAAATCGGGGAGCGATTCGATGGCAGCAGATCGCCGATGGACGACGCGTTCCGCGGGTCGTGGCTCGCTTTTACCGTGGCGTTTGCGACGCCAAGCCGTGATTTGAGGAGGCGCGGAGATTCGATCTTATCAGATGGTCGGCCAGTCGGCATGAGCGCCAAGACCGTGCTCGCTTGTTTCACAGAATCGCAAGTTGGACTTTGGCCGAGCTCACCTGGGTGCCGTTGTCCGCAGACGCTGCAGAAGGCATTCCGTGACTCCACATTCACGAAGCTTGCGTGGGCGATCCAGACAAGACTGTCGCGGACACGTTGGATGTTGTTTTGCGAGGTGTTTCGAGACGAGGCTCCCCGGCGAGCGCTTCAGTGCAAGCTTCACCAGCAGTACGAACGACCGAGCTTTCGTCGGCTTTTGATCGGAGATACGTCGCAGGGATGGTCCGAGACGGGAGGGGCAGACTGCACGAGCGTTGAACTGAAGCGAACGATCCTGTTCAACGAGGTATGACTCCATTGATCCGCGCCTGCCAGAGCCCAAGGGTAGTGGTGACTGGTAGCATGTCACCTCGGGCTTCGACGAGTTCGGATGCGGCGTGCCAGGTCCATGAGGATTCGCGAGCGAATTTGGCTCAAGATGGTCGCGGCCATCGAATGTCGTACTTCCGCTACGCATGCACAGCTCGCATCCATGCTGTGGGAGACCGTGGAGCGACTCGTAGTGCGATCTGATGCTGCGCCAGGCACGGCGGCTTGAGCTGCACATTGCTGCACGAAGACCGAATCAGGAGAATCAGGAATGCCGGGCACGCCTGCAAGGCACGTCGCGCTGTCGCGCTGCCCGGATCAGAAGCTGCTTTACGCGACGCTAAGGTACAGTCGAGACGCGCTGCTGGCAATCTCGTGCTCCGATGCGTATGGCCGCGCGCGGTGCTTTCCGTCCAGAGCAGGAAGCTGCGAGGCTGCGCATCAGACGCGACGCTCGCGCCCAACTCGCGCCAACGTTTTGGCACACGCGTGTGCAGACCAACCAACACGACCCGGGCTGGCGGCCATCGAATTTAGCAGCCCTGCCGTGGCGTAGACTGACGCGTCCGTTGATCTCGCCCGTCCACGCCTGACGCCTCTGCCTCGCGTCCGCTGATCCACCGCCTGCCGCCCTGGGAATTTCGTTGAATTTTTTCCCCTTCCTGTCGGCGAGCGGGAGGTGCGTGTCGTGTAGAGAGCGCGCATTTGCGCCCAGCAGGCAAAGCGGCTCATGTCAGCTCAGCGCGGCGGATCCGTGTCCGAGTCAAGCCTGCCTCTTTTCTTTCGCTGTAGAGCTTCAACTGCGCAGATCCTCTGCGGAAAAAAACCAGGGTCGGAGGCGCGACCGAGCCCGCCAAACGCGTTGACCAGTCGTGTGCACCAACACCACACGCTCTTGCGTCCTACCGTCATCTTCCCTCGCCCTCCGCGCGTCTCTCAGCCAGGCTGAGTCCAGTTCCGCACCTACATAAGTTGCGTCTTCTCTTCTCCATCTCCACCTCCTTTCCGTCCAACATCTCTTCACTCCACCTCGCCCTTCTCATACCCTCCTACGTTCTCCTTGCCTTCCCCATCTGCCCCTCGTCGCCACCTTAGCCACCACCGCCACTGCGTCCATCCTCGCTGCGGCCGCCATCCACATCACCGTCTCTCTCGACACCGTCCCACATACTCGTCCGCCGCCATGTCTGCCGTGACACAGCACAACCTCGAGACGCCTTCTAAGAAGGTCGCCGCTGGCCTCGCCGGCATCGACGTCAACGCCACGCCGTCCAAGAAGCCCGCCGCCAAGCTCAACCTCGACGACGCTGCCGACGACGACTTCTCCGACCCTGGCTTCCTCACCAAGGGCAAGAAGCTCGACCTCGCATCCAAGACCAACGCCGTCGCCGACTCTGCTGACGAGACCGCCGAGGCCGAAGATGTCCACGGCAAGTTTGTCGGTGAGGTTGACCTCCCCGAAGAGGAGGAGCCCCTTCTCGTCGAGACCTCGCGTCGCTTTGTCCTCTTCCCCATCCGCTTCCACGAGGTATGTTTCTCTTTTCTTGCCTGCATCCGACCACGGCAGTGACCGTGTGCAAGCGCATCCACTGACTTTTTCCTCTTCTGCTGCTGCGACTATTCTTTTGGATGCATTCAACAGATCTGGCAAATGTACAAGAAGGCCGAGGCTTCCTTCTGGACCGCCGAGGAGATCGACCTCTCCAAGGACCTCCACGACTGGGACAACAAGCTCAACGACAACGAGCGCCACTTTATCTCGCACGTCCTCGCCTTCTTCGCCGCTTCGGATGGCATCGTCAACGAGAACCTCGTCGAGCGCTTCAGCTCCGAGGTCCAGGCCGCAGAGGCCCGCTGCTTCTATGGCTTCCAGATCATGATGGAGAACATCCACTCCGAGACCTACTCGCTCCTCATCGACACCTACATCCGCGAGCCCGAACAGCGCGAGCTCCTCTTTGACGCCGTCGAGACCATCCCCGTCGTCAAGAAGAAGGCCGACTGGGCGCTCCGCTGGATCAGCGACCGTCGCGCCACTTTCGCCGAGCGCCTCGTCGCCTTTGCCGCCGTCGAGGGCATCTTCTTCTCGGGCTCGTTTGCTTCCATCTTCTGGCTCAAGAAGCGCGGCCTCATGCCCGGCCTCACCTTCTCCAACGAGCTCATCTCGCGCGACGAGGGTCTCCACACCGACTTTGCCTGCCTTCTCTTCAGCCACCTCAAGAAGCGCGCACACCCCGACACCGTGCTCAAGATCATCACCGAGGCCGTCGAGATCGAGCAGAAGTTCCTCTCCGAGGCTCTGCCATGCAGTCTGATCGGCATGAACGCAAAGCTGATGTGCCAGTACATCGAGTACGTCGCGGATCGCCTGCTCACACAGCTCGGCAACGCGCCCCACTTCAACTCGACCAACCCCTTCGACTTTATGGACAACATCAGTCTCGAAGGAAAGGTAAGCATACATTCTTTTCGAGCAATTACAAGCTTATCGTGACCGGCAACCTGACCAACCTATTCGCGCATTGACCCCTCCGTTTTACAGACCAACTTTTTCGAGAAGAAGGTTGCCGAGTACGCAAAGAGCGGTGTTGCGCGAAGGGAGACCGAGGAGGCAGGCGACGGCACGCAGAAGAACACACATGCCTTCTCATTGGAAGAGGACTTCTGATCGTCTTTGCCTGCTTGTTTCTTTCGTCATCTGTCTCGTTCTTGTACATGTTCCGTTTCGCAATGCACTACTCTGTACCATGGAAGCGTCGTCCGGGTTGTTGAAGTGTCTCTCGACGTCCCGAGTGTGAATCGATGCCAATTATGCCCACTGTCAACCAGATCCAGCGTCGCCCCCACGGATGACATCGCGCTCAAGAGCAGTATTCTGCTTCCGCTGAGACGTTCCCTCTCAACGCCGCCTCGAACTGGCGAGCCGTTCGCTGAGCCGTTCGTAGATCCCGCTATGACGAGCGACAGCTTTCAGCCCGAATCCGGCTCCCAGCGGTTCCACAGCACAAATCGAAGTTGTCGGAGGACGCCGAGTCCAGCGTCGCACACATGAACGTCTTTGAATCGGACGAGGAAACCCACACGTCTTCAGCCCCGTGCTTGGCCCTGTGTTTTCGATTCTCGTCTTCGTATGTCTTTGGCCGCCACGCGTCCTGTTGCACTTTCAGACAGAGCCCGTGCTCCTCAGCACTACAATACCGGGATCCTGCACTCTCTTAGTTGGGAGCGGATGCGGGCTTGCGGACAGGTCATCTTGAACCCTCGGCGAGCCTCGCAGACGCTCAAATGGAGCATTCTCGGCCGGTTCAAGTTGGCCGGCCTCTGACGTATTCTGCCCGAGCCGAGGGAGGCCTCCACACGATGAAGCTGACGGCTCTCAGGGGTGCACGGCACGGCAATACACCCAGAGACGGGCAAGGATCAACTGTAGCGGCTGCGCGCAAGCCGTGTGGAACGAGCGAGCCGGCGCAGCTGCCGCTTCGTTTGCCTCAACGACTTGGAAGCCGCGCCCCGACTCTCGCGACCTGAACCTCGCGAAGCCGCAACTGCGCTTGTGCACGGACCTTGACGCTGAATCCCAACCGCACACCAAGTCGTCATAACCGTTCTTGTTCGCCGCCACCACCACCACCCTCATTCATTCATCATCACAAACATCTCCGCATCCACAATGCCAGCTATTCAGCCAAAGTCACACGTCCTTGTCACCGGAGGCTCGGGCTTCATTGCAGTCTGGTGCGTCTACCAGCTTCTCGAGCGAGGCCACAAGGTCCGCACCACCGTTCGATCCGACGCCAAGGGCAAGTACCTTCAAGACCTCTTCAAGAAGTACGGCGACCAGCTCAGTTTTGTCATTGCTGAGGATCTCGAGAAGCAAGGAGCCTTCGATGATGCCGTCAAGGGTGTTGACGCCGTCCTCCACACCGCTTCGCCTTTCCACTTCAACATCGAGGGCGATCCCAGGGGAACGCTCATCAACCCCGCCGTCAACGGCACGCGCAACGTCCTCACCTCGATTCACAAGCACGGCAAGGATGTGAAGCGCGTTGTCATCACGTCGTCCTTCGCGGCCATCCTCGATTCGACCCGCAAAGGCCACATCGTCTACACCGAAAAGGACTGGAACATCTCGAGCGTGGAAAACGTCGAAAAGCAGGGCAAGGACCAGGAAGGCCCCGACGCTTATCGCGCTTCCAAGACCATGGCCGAGCGTGCTGCTTGGCAATTTGTCGAGGAGAACAAGCCCGAGTGGGACTTGGTCACCATCAACCCGCCTCTGGTGTTGGGCCCCATCCTGCACCAAGTTGCCGCTCCTGAGAAGCTAAACACCTCGGTCGGATTTGTGTGGGGTCTCCTGCACGGCTCCAAGAAGGAGGACGATCTCCTCGCTCCCTCTGGCAACTGTGTCGACGTTCGCGATGTAGCCTACGCGCACGTAGAGGCGCTCGTGCGTGCGGACGCGGGTGGCAACCGTTTTGCCACTTCGCTTGGCCCCTTTGTTTGGCAGGACGTGGCCGACGTTATCCACGCCGATGACGCCGTTCCGTCCGAGTGGAAGAAGCAGGTGCCTCAAGGCAAGCACGGCGAGGGCTCTTCGGTCAAGCAGAACGAATTGGATGGATCCAAGGCCACACGTGTGTTGGATCTGCGCTACATTCAGATGCAGGACGTCGTCAAAGACATGGTCGCCAGTCTCGCCGACTACGAGAAGCGCGGCTGGTCCGGTGTGCCCAGCGATCACCTCCTCTCCCTGACCAAGCATTAGTTCTTGTCGATGCGGCCGCTTGGCTTACAATTCAGTACTCGCTAGACGCAATGCTTTCAGAAGGTGAAATCCGAGTGTGAAGCTGGATACGTCCACTTGTCTTTCTGTGTCCGCGCAATCATGTGTGTTGCCGCGGCAGTAGAGCCGATGTCGACTGGGTGGTCGCCACTTTCGCAAGCAATCGATTCCACGGCAGATTGTCCTCTGCGCTGACCAGGGAGAGCGACCTATTCATCGCTGTCCGTGAGGCTGAGGTGCCGACTATACCAGCTTGCGGCAGGCTATCCATGCTGGCACCGCAGACTGGACTGCGACGCGACCACAGCAGAGGTGCGAGCTTCCAGCAAACTCTTTGCCCGAACATCCTGACCAGTCCGAATCGCACTGGAATTCGCGTCAAAAATGCGGCCCTTTTTTGCTGAAACACGGCTCCAATGGCCCTAGCAATGACGTCTGTTCCTATCTCCCGCCTCGCAGACTGGCCGCCCTATTGAACGGCCCGGAAGAAGGGCTCAAAGGAGGGCGAAACTTGCGCCGAAAACGGCACGGATGCGTGAGCCGAACTCTGATCCTTTCCGAACCGAACATCACTTGATGCTTTCCGATGGAGTCGTGACTGTGCTGTGCTTTTGCGAGCAACCGAGGCGCTGGAACTCCGTTTTTCCATGAATTTGACCGGAGCACCGCCGCCAACCGCCGTCAGCCGCCGTCAGCCGCCATCAGCCGCCGTCAGCCGCCGTCAACCGCCGCCAAGCCGTGGTCGCCGACGCGGTTGCAGACTGTCAAAACGCTAAATCCCGTTCCGTAGGAAGCTCACGTAGATCCTCTCAAAGTCGCTTCCACAGGAACTCAGCAGATCCATTCCAGAACGCGAAGTAAGCAGCGCCTGAACTGTGACGCGCGTGTCCGGCGAATAAGCCGAGAGTGGAGGGCTGTGCTCCTCGTCGGCTCAAAGAGGTGAGTTCGTGAGACGCGGTCAACGCTTTGCGTCGTCTCGCGCTTCTGTAGCATGTCGCAAGCATCTTGTAGAGCCTAGCTGCGAACGGCTACGGAACGGCAGGCATGCCTTGAAAGGATAAAAGGTTGGCTCCATCACGGTCTCTTCTAACCTCTTTCACCAGCAACTATCCTCCATCTACATCACCACCATTGCCTCTCCAAACTCTCATAGCGATGTCTTTGAAGCTCACTGCTGCCGCTGTACTGCTGCTTGCCGGAGCAAGCACCACCTCGGCTGCGCCCGTCTCTAGCGCTTCCTCCGCCGATCAGTGCGTCAGCCTTGGCAAGGGCGCCTTCGGCTACAACTCGACCGGCATTCCCATCTACTCGAACAATCCTCCCGCAACCTACCTCTCGCTCAAAGATGAGCACGTTGTCGCATCGACCACCCCCCAGTGGCAGAACCAGACCATGTTCGAGTTCTTCAACTGCTCCTACACGCCGCCTCCCTACGAAGGCAAGGGATCGGTCGCCACCTACCAAGGTCACATCAAGGGACCTGACGGCAACTGTGTGACCGTCGACCGACTTGAGTCGACTGGTGTTCTAGTTAAGTCCGAGCCCTGCGCATTCACCGATGACAGCTCTCTGGGCAACGTCGAAGCTCGACAACACTGGCAATTCCAGCTGTACTCGTTCTATGACTACTACACCGCTGTCTTCCTGGGCAACACCCCCGGTCCGGTCCACCAGAACGATGCGGGATGGGGCGGAAACTACCACTTCGCCTTCGACGGTGCCGATCTTGCAGCCAGCTACGAAGCGGACAATCCACAGACGGGCAAGCGAGACGAACAGCTCATTGGTCAGCTCGGAAGGCAGTATGTCCCTCCGATCCGTCAATTGCCGGCCTGCAAGCTCGTCAAAGTCGGCGGGATGGAATTGGTCAACACATCTACCGGAGAGGTTCAGCCCGTAAATGCCGGAAGGACCGCTGCATTCCCATACGGCTATTCCCCTCTTCTCAACGCAACCGAGAAGGCCGAGTTCAACTTCTTCCAATGTGACTCGGCTTTCATGGGCTTCGATTCGGATGACAGCAACATCTACGGCCACTTCGGTCTCAACAACACCATCTTTGGAGGTGGTTGCTTCAGCAGGCAGACCGGCAGTCTAAACAACTATATTATCGAGGCCGCAGGAGCCTGCTCCACCGATGATACCAAGTTTCAGATCTCGCAGTTCTACCATCTGAGCAAGACATCCGATGGCAAGTACGACGTCAATTGGCTCGGTGCTCCGAAGAGCGACTCTCAGAAGGACTGGGGTTGGACCGTGTTCAAGGACCCTCAGCAGACCGATGGAACCAGCGTCGTGCTGGTGGATCAGAACTCGACCGCGTACAAGCTTCGCTTCAGTAACTAGAAGCGGAAAGCTTCCACTTGCGCGGATGACCCTCGTCCCCTAGAGCGAGTATCTGTTTCTCGCTTGCATCGTTGATCTCGATGTCCGTCCAATAGAACCTTGCCTTTACAATGCCGCTCGCCGGCTTTTCTGCTATCTTGAGCGACTACTGAGCGAGACATCGTCAAGGAGTCTCGCGCGTATAAATCTTCTCCCCGATCGGGTCACAGGCTTCGGGTCAATAACTTTGCAGTGTCTCATGAGGTCAACTGTCCTCAGAGCGCAGTCGGCGCCGGTGTCAGTTGCTGTTGCACAACATCCTGGCCTCTACATTCGGTCAACGACGGGCGTGAAGAGGATCGATTGTAGGGGAAAAGCTGCGTTCCTCCCGTTCTTTGGAGGTGCTTTGCGAACCTAGCGCGCTCCTTCAATCTTCGTCCAGAGAGTAGTGCCGCGAACGCTAGCTGCAAAGCTTCATCGACAACAACAAGCAACGAGGACTCGACGGCGTCGATCAGAACATAGTCACCTCGCACTCGTCTCTCATAGAGACCGTTGTCGACTCTGCACCGCTCACAAGCTGGGACGTCGAGGCCGCCCGTGACATTTTGATCCGCGCAGAGGCAGAAGGGCTGGACTTACCAAGGGCGTCAGAGGACCTGAAGCCCTTTGTTCGGAGACCAACGCTCCTCGCCCATTCCCATCAAGCCTTTGGCGATCGGCCCAGTTCCTCGTACTCCTGTCATGAGCATGATGTCGTCGAGGACAGACTCGATCGATCTATCCGTCCGTGCAGATGGACGACACCACGGGAGGCAGCGGCAATCCCGTTGAGCGCACGATGGACACATGCGCTGCGATCCCTCGCTCAGTCCAAGTCAGAAAAACGGTCGTTGCTGTTTGAGGAGCTTTGGAATACACAGCCACTGCGAAAGATGCAAGTCAGGTCGCGAGCAAGGCACTTTTGCTGGGGGAATCGACCTTCCCATTCCGCTCGTACTGCCAGCGAGCTGGCTCAGGCGATATGCTTCTTTCAGAGAAGCTGAAAGGCATTCGTGGCGCGCAGGAGCATGGACGCATTGCCTGCCCCGTGCGAAAGTCTAAGGGAACAGCATCGAATTGCAAGGCTCTAGTCCCACTTGTTGTTGAACACCTCGCCATCAACGTAGTTGACCATCTCGGTGACCGGAGGCAGCCTATCGCCGTATCCGAACATGATGCCCTTCTTCATCACATTACGATAGTTCTTGCCTGGGTTGACCTTGCCGAGCACGTACTCCTGCCTGGTCTCGACGCGGTCGGGGACAGGGATGGACCTTCCAACCACAGCTTCCATGGCTTGCCACGCAAATGTGATGGCTTCCTTCGCACTTGCAGGGACGCCGGCGGTGTCGAGCATGTAGATCTTGGTGTTGGGATAGTGCTGCTGGATGTAGGCGGTGATGTTGGGGTTGTACGCGCCACCACCGCACATGAAGATTTCATCAATCTCTTGCCGAGGCGCGTACCGGCGGTAATGATCCACGATTGCTTGCGCCGTGATCCTGGTCACGGTTGCAACGATGTCATCCTGCGACAGTCCGAGCTTCTCGGCTTTTTGGATAAGCTCGTGCGCCATCGTATCGCGGAACACTTCCCTGCCGGTCGTCTTGGGCGGTTCGAGCTTAAAGTATTCGAACTCCAAGAACTCGTCGACGAGAGGCTGGTGGACGGTTCCGCGGCTGCCCATGGCGCCGTCCTTGTCGTATTCCTGGCTGCCGTTGGTAAAATGACGCACGACTGCATCGATAAACACGTTGCCCGGTCCTGTGTCAAAGTCGAAGCACTTGTCGATGCCACCCTCATTGTCAGGCGGAATGAAGCATACGTTGGCAATGCCACCAATGTTTTGGCACGCGCGAAGCTTGGTCGGGTGATGGAGCAGCAGGGCGTCAAAAAACGCAATCAGTGGGGCGCCCTGCCGACCTGCAGCTTGATCCGAGACACGGAAGTCGGTCACGGTGGTGATGCCAGTGCGAGAGGCGATGAAAGTGCCCTCTGCCATGGTGAGCGCCGACTTGGTCTGACCTGGCTTGGGCATGCTGAGCAGCCAGATGGTCTGTCCATGCGAGCCAATCACATCGATGCTCTCCATCGCCACGCTGGTCTCGTTGCAGAACTGTTGCACCGCCGAGGCAAATGTCTCTCCGAGCAGCACATTCACCTCGGAGAGCTCTTCGGGGGTGGTGCGGTTGTGGTAGATCATGTCCATCACACGCTTCTTGATCTTTGGCTCGAGTGGGATCTCGGCGTACTTGAGCAGCTCAAAGTGCATGGGCGCTTCTGGACTTTGCTGACGAAAGCGGCAGAGAGCACAGTCGATACCATCCATGCTTGTACCGCTGTTGAGCCCGAGGACCGTCAAGTCGAGGCCCGGGGAAGCGCCATGCCCATTGATGCCGTTTGCACGCCCGTTTGTGATCGTCATGTTGTGGAGGTGTACCAGTGTCGAAGTCGCAAAGCAGACATGTGGCGATCGGACGTCTCCTCGTATTTATGTACTGCTTCCTATCTCCGAGTCCGACCTCGAGAACGAATTATACGGTAAAGTCATAGATGGGTGCTTGCCCAAACGGGCCAGCTCTCGTAAAAACGGTTCGGCGATACCTGACGCCTGCGGCCAAGTCGCGCCTTCGCCTATTCGCCTAAATGCTTGATCGCCTCTGCATTTTAGCGAATAAGCGACGCAACAATGCGCCATAACGCAGTCGGGTAAGTGCCGCAATACGGTGATGCAAGGGTTGTTTTGTTGCGCGCAGTCGGGGGGCCCCGCGACTCTCGAAAGTTTTTCGGCGTTTCGGGCATGACATGGCCAACACCATGGAACTGCACAACAGAGTACGGTCCTCGACGCATCCATCCAAGCATGCCTCTGGGCTGGACCCATCCTCGAAGCGAGAGCAAGATCCGAATAACCTCGCGCGCGCACGAGGCGTGGGCCCCGCGTTTTATGCGGTGCCTAGCCGAGCAGAGCTGCACACAAGCGACAACAAGGTCAGATCTCCTTCATGACGCGGCTGCCAACGATGCGTTGCAAGTCCATCATACCCTCCGTGCTTGATCAAATGACATAAAAGGGGCCAAGCGACACCGGAACCACTCCTTTGCCTATCCCACGCTCGCTTCGTCTCCCATCATCTGCCCGACTCCAATCGCAACGACCTGAATACGCCGAAACCATGGGCTATACAAACGCGTGGAAGAGGCTCTCGCCTGCCCAGCTCAACATTGCCATTCAGGCCTTCTCCCTGATTGCCATCTTCTTCGAGGGCTATGGTACGTCGTCAAAGTTGTCTATGAGACCCGTTGTGCCAACTTTTTTTGCTGACGTATCTCTTCGGCGTGTCCTTCCAACTGCAAACAGACCAGGGTGTTATGGGCGGCGTCAATGCTTCGCCAAACTATGTCACAGAAGTAGACATTGGCATCGCCGATGGCACGGTCACAAACACCACCAAACAGGGCGGCATCGTCAGTGTCTACTACCTCGGATGCATCGTCGGATGCTTCCTCGGCGGTTGGGCAGCCGATCGCATCGGCCGCATCAACGGACTCTTCTTCTCCGCCATCTTTGCCTGCATCGGAGGCGCTCTCCAAGCTGCCACACAGAGCGCCGACTTTATCATCATTGCTCGTGTAGTCACCGGACTTGGTACGGGAGGTAAGTGAAACATCAGATGCGAAACATGAGCAGCATCTCATCCTGTGCACCCGCCCTTACACGTTGGCTGACGGCTCGTTCTGCTTGCGTTACCTCCACAGCTCTTACCGGCATCACCCCGGTCTTCATCTCGGAGGTCTCCGCCGCTCAACACCGCGGTGCTTTCCTTGGCTACGTCTTTATCGCGAACTACCTCGGCATCTCTGTCGCATACTGGCTCGACTTTGGCCTCAGCTTTGTCGACGGAGGATACTCTGCCGTCCGCTGGCGATTCCTGCTCGCCTTCCAGTGCTTGCCTGCGCTTCTGCTTTTGGTCGGTATCAAGATGCTCCCGGACTCGCCCCGCTACCTTGCTTCGGTTGGCAAGACGGAAGAGGCCCGCGAGGTTCTCCAACATATCCGCGGCAGCTACGATGCCCATGTGGAGCAAGAGTTCAACGAGATTGCCGCCATGGCTCAAAACACCAAACCCAGCTCGCCCATCGAATTCGTCAAGATCATCCTCGGCATGGACAAGACTCACGGTGCCAACCTAGGACGCAGGGCTTGGCTTTGCATCTGGCTCCAGATCATGGCTTCCTGGTCCGGAATCACTGCTGTCACGGCCTACTCGCCCGTGCTGCTCCGTCAAGCCGGATACAGCGCCATCAAGCAGAACGGTCTTGCCGGAGGACTCAACACGATCGGCATCATCGGCACCATCATCTCGGCACAGATCGTCGACAAGTACGGTAGGCGCGCATGCCTCATGGCCGGAGCCGCAGGTCTCGCCATCGTCAACCTCATCGCCGCGTCGCTGTACGAGGCCTCGCGCCACGACCCATCGCTCGCCGACCAGATTGCACCCGCGGCAGTGACGATGCTCTTCCTCTTCAACCTGATCTACGCCGCCACATGGGGGACCGTCGCCTTCCTCATCCCCACCGAGATCTTCCCGAGCAAGATGAGGGCGCAAGGAAACGGCTTTGGCATCACCGGCTGGGCCATCGGCGTCGGCATGACGGTTCTCGTCAACCCCATCATGTTTGGCAGCATCGAGAGCCGCACCTACTTCCTCTTTGCCGGTCTCAACTTTGTCTGGATCTGGATCGTCTACCTCCTCTACCCAGAGACTTCCAACCGCTCGCTCGAATCCATCGAGGCCATGTTCAGCACACCGTCGCCCTTCTACTGGAGCATGGAGAAGGCGTATGCCGACAACAAGCAGACTCTCTTTGTCGACGAGGAGAACCGCGCAAGATGGACCGAGCGCGCCGAGGACGACGCCGCCTCTTCGCAGGAAAAGTCGATGGAAAAGTCGATGGCTTGACAACGCTCAAAAGCGGAATTGCGACGAGTCATCTAAACGCGGGGAGTATGTACATGTAATCCATAGAAAAACACTTATGTCACGTCAAAGATCCAATCCCAGTCATCAAACAGGTCCGCGGGGAAGTGGATCTGAGGCATCTCGTCTCCGTTCATAAAGTCGATGCTCATGGCAGCACGCGAAGAGTCGAGTGAATGTTCGGCCTGTGGTCCGGTCCTCTCCATCGAGCGCTGCACGTGCATGAACGCATCGATCCTTGCAACCTGGCCTCGCAATTTGTCGCTCGTGCCCGCTTTAGCAAACAGATGCGTCTCCAGGTTGGCCAGCAGATGCGCCAAATCGATGAGCACAGACCGAACGCGCTGATACGACGATTCCGTCAGGCCTTCCTCGAATGCAGAGCCCATGATCGTGCCGATCCCAGCGAGATGGTGCAGAAGAGGCGTGCTGATCGCGCGCAGGTACGCCACGGGGATACGGGCAAAGCTTTCGATCACTTCGCCGGCGATTTCGCACTTCTGGATCACTGTGGAGTGCTCGGTCGCAAGGACGGACATGCGCACGAGTTGCAACGTGGCGCCAATGTTGGCGGCTTGGAAGCCAAACAGGTCGGTGTTTAGCCTGCCCGTGATGGGTTGAATGTCCTTAAAGACGGGCGGCAGTTGGTTGTAGAGATCCATCGCATTGCTGAGGACGGCGGAGCCCGTGACGCGAGCGGATGGCTCGATTGCGTTGGTGGCGGACGGTGTAAGCGCCAGGTCGCGCAGATTGCCGAGGGAGTCCACCGTGTGCTCCAGCTTTCGATAGAGGTCCGTGACGAAATTCCAGCCTCTGAGCCAACACGATGCCTCGAACGGTGCTTGCTCGGGGGCAACGGCGTCGCTGAAAGCCTCGTCATTGCACTCGATCGGGTACCTTACGCTGTAGCAAGCCTCCCTGCCCTTGACAACGCCGCCCCAGATGATGGAGGAGAAGACGTCCAAGGTGTACGTTGACCAGAACAGGCGTCTGCGCATCTCCACCTCGACGAACCCGATGCCCTGCGGCCAGTTCCGCTCATCATGGAGCGAGGCCACGGCTGTACATCCGTGATAGAGGCAGAGGTAGTAGTTCATCTTGCGCGGATCTCCGAGCTGGATGGAAGCGATGGCCAGGAGGGCGTACGCCCTCATGTAGTCGAACTCCTGGGATAGAGGCGCATCGCTGGGGATGGCGTTCGCTGCGATCTGGAGGAAATACTCGCAAGAGGGTGTTTGGAGCCAGTGCGTATCCCATCGTTCCGTGTAGAGTGCGCCGTCACGGACGCGAGCTGAAGAGAGTGCGCAGAGCGCCATGACGGCGGCGAAGAGGGGTCGACTGGTGGCATACTCTCCTCGCGCAACGTTGCGCAGCAGAGTCGGATGGTGGAAGAAGGGAAAGACAGGATAGACGACTTCAAAGTAGATCTCTGTCAGGTCCATGACGATTGCCTGGCTAGGCAACGTGTCGGGCTTCCAAGACTCGCTCTCGCTTTTGTCGGTAGCGTTGTCCGGTCGGCGGTGAAGCGTGTCGTGCTGCCTTGTTGCAGAAGCGGCGGNGGGCTTCCAAGACTCGCTCTCGCTTTTGTCGGTAGCGTTGTCCGGTCGGCGGTGAAGCGTGTCGTGCTGCCTTGTTGCAGAAGCGGCGGAAAGCGGGGATTGACCAGCATCACTCGCAACCGCTGGTGATGTCCGGGCGTCTCTGGGCCTTGCACCTCGCTTGCGCATGGGGCGATCGAAGGTACACTCCTCGCCATAATCCAGACAATTGTCGCATCGGGATGGGCTTGTAGGTTGAAATCTGCACTTGACGCTACGAGCGCTGCATCGGTCGCACGCACGTGTGATGCGACGCCGCTTTTGTGAGTGGACGGACGCAGTTCTGGGGTCGCTCATTGTGGATGTAGTGACCGCAAGGAGGACAGCGATCTGCGCATCGCGCAGCTACAAAGCTGAAGTGTGTCTTGCGAAAGGTCCCGGTGTAGTCTTTAGCAAACGAGCATGGGAGCGTGCGCGCGGCGAGCAAGATGCATGCATGTCGTCGGGTCAGTTGGGGCCGGCTCCGAGGACGTCAGCCAAGTTGGGACTCGAAGGCCCCGTCTGCAGTGCGAAGGGCGACTCTACGAACCATCAGCGCATCTGCAGAGTGTGACCGTCGCCCAAGATCTAGGGCATATCGTGGTGCTGAGGGAAGAGTCGCAACTCTACAGCTCAGCCAAACCAATTCGACAACCGCGACTCGGCCGCAACTCGGGAACGGAAAGGTCCAATTAACCCTAACCCAAAATGACCTCAAAAATGGTCGCAAAATTGCACGCAAAATTAGACCGAGTTTATCAATGTTCTGGCTAACACACTTGTGGTTGTCACCAGGGCCACGGGAGGATGGAGAAGATGTTAAGGCCGAAGGGTCTGAGCACCGCAAAGGCGGCTTTGACCGT